CAAATGTTTTGGCTGCCTGCTTTTGGGGTTGGTAACAGCCCACAGCTAGACAGCAAATTTCTTGAGGGGGCAGCTCCCAGTGTATTGGCAATCACACAAACATTCTTAGCAAGCCCCTTCCTCCTTCGGTAGCTGCCCCACTGCGGGCTGCAGTGCACAGACACAGCCCTTCTAGGTGCTGAACCAGGAGTAGTCCATGCTACCTCCATGTTCCTGGCAGGATGGGCCATTGTCCTCTGTTACAAGTCTGGGGCAAGAGTGAGATCAGAGGGGTCACTGAACTGAGGTTACTGTAAACAAGGGCAGGGTATGGCTTCGTATCTGCATGGGCTTTAAGTTCCAGCAAAGCCCAGAATCAGTGTGGCAGAATGTAAGACTGGTACATTTCTCCCCTAAGTAGACTCAGCATTTTTCTGGAACCTGCTCTGAGAAGTCTGCACAGGGCACACCCCAAAGACCACCAGGCATGGTGGTGTGGTGCAGTCTACTCTTCTCCGAGCCTAAGTCTCTGGCCACATGATGTGAAGCAGAAACTTAGCACTCAGGCAAGGTGCCACCCATACAACAGGGGCAAGTTCCCACTTCTAGGGCCATAAATGCTGCTCATTCCATGCCAGCACTGTGGTTGGATCCCCAAAGCGCTAAGCAAACTCAAGGGGATCTTGCTGGTCTGAGGGGCATAGGGGGCACCCTGCTGATAGCAGCTGTGAGGGGAGCAGTGTAAACAAAGTGTCCCTCTCCTAAATTACCTGAATCTGAAACCTTGCACCCCTCTCCTTCCTTTAACCCAAGCCCATCAGCCAGCTCAGTTCAGCTGACATTCTTCTCCAGCCTGATACTTAAAGTTATTTAAGGAGGCTTCAGATCCCTTTTTTTCTCAAGTCCCAAGTGCATGCACCAATGCATGCACACTGGTTTACAAATGGATAGAGGTATATATGTGAAAATGTGCACACAAACTTACATGCACACGCACACACAAACCAGTCTCCTACACACACACACACACACACACACACACACACACACACAAATAGTCACTAATATAGACCTAACCATTCAGCTATGCACTGATTCACATGGTCAGGCACACATAGGAATATACACACATATCCCACATACTAGGACGTATACATGACCATGGATGTGCAGCATGGAAATGAAGCTGTACACAGGCATACAGATGCACACATGCACTGAATGTGACACACAACTGGAGTTGTTGAACTCAAGTGGTAGGCAAAGATGTGTGTCCATCTGTGTATGGACACATTAACACATCTCTGTGTTGTGCACAGCTGCAACATGCACATATGCTAATATGCATATCCTTGGGAGCCCCAGCCCTTCCATTGTCTCTCAAATACACTGGACAGAGGTGGGCTATTCTTTTTTATACCAATGCCCCAGTTTCTCCCAACCTGACCAATTACTGGGGGATGTGATGCTTGATGGGTGAGTGACAGACTGAGAGAGCGCCCTGGGAGCAGCCTCCAGCAAGGAAGGGAAACTAACAAAGCCACCAAAAGAGAGAGAGTAAAGAAACTCAAGAGGGAGAGAGAGAAAGAGAGAGATCTCCATGCAACAGGCTCTGCCTCTGTGTCTGTCTGTCTGTCTGTCCTTCTGGGCCTAATAGGTTGCTTCAGATTCAGAAATATAGAAAATAGAAGCTCTTTCCTGAGGCCCAGCTGGGGCAGATGGAGCCAGACAGATGGGCACACAGAAGGGAAGGTGGGGTGGGTGAGCCACCACTCCGAAGAGATGGGATGGGCAGCCAGGAGGGGTTCAGGTACCATGCCAGTGACTATATACACAGAGATAAAGTGCAGCCCTGCTCCCACCCACCCCTCCCACTCAGCCAGTCTCCTCATTCCAGGCCTCAGGGGTGGCATTAGGGGCAGTGGCTTCTTCTCCATTACATGTGGCTGGGGCCTCCGCCACCTGGGCCACATCGTTGGGTGTAGTGGTGGCAGCAGCGTCGGCTTTTGGCTGTGGGGCAGCAGTGGGGGCCGTCGAGGTGACGCTGTCTGTTGGGATGGCAGCTGGCTGGGTCGGTTGTGCAGATTCTGTCTGCTCAGGTGCCCGGAGTCGTTTCATGAGTGTGGTCACTCGCACGGCTTTCTGTGGGGAGGCATAGAGGGAGGAATCCCATGGGTCTCAAAGTGCTATAGTATGGGATGAATACCCTTTCACTACAACTGCCAAGGAATGGTTCATTCTCTTGTGCTAAGCTATCACTTCCCCACGTCCATGTTCCTCTGCCCTATGCTCCTGACTGTCTTGGTAGGGACTCCTCTGGCTTTCCCAACCCTTTAGGTATCAGGGCAAAACCTGTGCTAAGTGAGGAGACTTTAGCTCTTGACTAGTATCTTAAAAGAAATGGACGTTGCAGTTAAGGGTGTTACATTGCCTCTCTCACTATGGTACCACCCATCACTCATAGCTGGGCTTTTTCTGCATAAAATCATTAGCAGTAGCAATGGCCCTAGTGGAGTCTTTGGCACTAGGATTCAAACTTGGAGGAGTGATTGTGGGGTAAGCTATCCCTCCAGGAGGGGTTGGTTTCAATTTCCGCTGTCCCAAATATGGCACAGCCCTGGGAGTCCATGTCTTGCTGAGAAGAGAGGGCTGAGGTACAGCAAAAGGTTGTGGGAAGAAGTTTTGAAAAAGCAGGGTGGTCAGCCCTGGTACCAAGGATTTTCAGGACTAGGCATCCATAGAGGAACCTGGGGGTGGGTCCCCTCATGCTGCCCACCTCTGATTACAGGAAGATGGGGCCTGTGGATTTTCCTTAAAAGGGCATACATTTGTACATAGGCACTGCAGCAACCTGAAAATGCTGAAAACTGCTGAATGCAGGTCAGAGACAACTGTAAAGATGGCCGCTATGCCAATCTGGGACTGTCTTTTATGTTCTTATCTGAAGCATCATTGCCAGAAATCTTGGGAGCAGAAAAATGTGCTCATCACTGATGGGGTCTGTCATCATATGCTGTCAAAATTAAAAAGAGGTGTACACACAGTGGAAGCTATGGACAGTCCTCAAAGAGGACTATACATTAGTGACCAGCATTCGTAGGGACATTACCAGGAAAGCCAAGGTGGTGACTGAGTTTAGGTTAGCCACGGGAGTCAAAGACAATAAGAAGTCCTTCTTTAGGTATGTAGGCAGTAGAAGGAAAACAAATGGAAGTGTGGGACCCCTGCTTAACACCTCGGGGCAGCTGGTAACCGACATTCAGGAAAACACTGAACTCCTGGAATGTCTACTTTGCTTCAGCATTTCACCAAACCAAGAGGAAAGACAAGCGAGATAAGGCTCATAGGGGGCATACTGGGAATGGCATCCTCCTCACTGTGGATGCTGAGTGGGTGCAATACCAGCTAGAAAAGCTAGACATTTATAAGTCAGCAGGACCTGATGGACTTCATCCAAGAGTGCTGAAGGAGCTGGCTGAGGTCATTGTGGAACCCCTGGAAAAGCTCTTTCAGAATTTGTGGTGCACAGGGGAAATGCCTGAGGATTGGAAGAGGGCCAAAATTGTGCCCATCTTCAAGAAGGGGAAGAGGGAGGATCCGGGCAACTATAGACCAATCAGCCTAAACTCTATCCCAGGGAGAATCCTGGAAAAGCTCATTAAAAAATCTATGTGCGATACGCTCGTGGAAGGTAAGATTCTGAACGACAGCCAGCATGGCTTTGTCATGGGTAGGTCTTGTCTTACCAATCTCATCTCCTTCTACGACCAGGTCTCTCATCACCTGGACATGGGTGACGAGGTAGATGTTACATACCTAGATTTTCAAAAGGCTTTTGATCTACTATCCCTTGACACTAAGAAAATTGGAGGATTGTGCTTAACTCCGAGACAGGTGGGTGGGAAACTGGCTGCAGGGTAGGACTCAGAGAGTTCTCATGAACGGATCTATGTTGTTCTGGTGTAAAGTGGCTAGTGGTGTCCCTCAGGGGTCCGTGCTTGGACCGGTGCTTTTCAACATTTGCACAGGGGAGTGAAAATCTTGCTGGCCAAGTTCGTGGATGACACAAAGTTATCGGGTGGTGTGGTCATGTCAGAAGATAGGTTGCAGATACAGGCGGACCTGGACAGTCTTGAGAGTTGGGCAGACCAGAACCACATGAAGTTTAACACTTCCAAGTGTAAGGTGCTCCATCTAGGGGCAAACAACCCTCGAGGAAAGGCTGAGGGCCCTGGGCCTCTTTAGCCAAAAGAAGAGAAGGTTGAGAGGGGACTTGATAGCAACTTACCACTATATCAGAGAAATGCATCAGGAGCTCAGTGAACAACTGTTCACTAGGGCACCCCTGGGGAAGACCAGGACCAATGGAAACAAACTCCTGGAAGGCCACTTCAGGCTTAATACTAGGGAAAACTCCTTCACAGTCAGGATGTCCAGACTGTGGAATAAACTCCCTCCAGAGGTGATGCAGTCACCTACCCTGGAGGTTTTCAAGAGGAGACTGCACAGTCACCTCGCTGGGGTCACTTGACCTCAGTTGTCTTCCTGCCTAGAGCAGGGGTCTGGGCCTGATGATCTGCGAGGTCCCTTCCAGCCCCTAACAATCTATGAATCTATGAATCATACTGCCATGTGGTAGGGGGGTCAGTGGGGAGCTCAGGCATCGAGCAGATTTAGTGACAGGTCCAAGCTTTCATGAAGAGTGCATGGGTCAGCAAGAGAATGGACCTAGATCCCTAGAGTCTCAGGTCAGCTCCCTATAAGCAGATCACCATTTTCACTGATGGAGACTGATGTGCAGAGTGGCTCAAAGGAGAAAACCTCTTCTCTGCATTGTTGTCAGGGCTCGTTCTGTGAGGCTTAGCCTATACCATCTCCCCAGAGATGGAAGGGGCTCTACATCCCACAGGTCCCCTGATGTAGAGGCCCATGTTGGCTAAGGGCTACATACCTTCCATTTGGCTCTGGCAAAGTTCTTCTCGATCTGAGCACACACACCATCCTTTATGTTCTTATCTGAAGCAGCATTACCAGAAATCCTGAGAGCAGAAACACATGCCAATGACTGGCTTCTCAGGGTCACTCTCCCAGCCACTTGTGCCCATGCTCTGCCTATTTTGCTAAGCTGGTGCCCCTTAAAGGATGAATTCAGCAAAGACCTCTGACCATACCCCATTCATGCACTCCAGCCTCATTGCAGGACTCTGCCAACCCACCCATTTTGTGTCTTCTCTCCCATGCCAGGAGGTGGAATTGCTACTGGCCATCAGAGGTGGACTCTCACATTCATTACAAGTTCCAAGATATTATCACATCCCTTCCATCCCTACAACTTCCTTCCTGTCAAAAGAGTCCCCTTTTTTCAGGTCTGGGACTTCCATCAACTATCCTTACCACTCATGGGAGATGGCTTCTTCAGCTGTAATCCTCTGGTCTTGGTCCACTTCCATTAGACGGGTCACCAGCTCTTTGGCTGCAGAAACAAGAAGCAGAAGGAAGGAGCTTAGTGCTCTGTCAGCCACAGGGCTAGGCACAGCCAGGAAGTATGGAATGGTGGCTGGTGGGGGTACTCAGACTCCTCAGCACCCATCTCCAAAGGAGCTAGAGATGGAGAAACGAAGGATCCAAAGGCAAGAGAGAAATCATTTCCTTCCTGCTCAGGGATAAGCTTCCTGGAGATCCAGGGTCCCTCATATGCCTTACAGCAGAGCTGGCTGGGTAGGGGGAGAGTGGGGAGCAGAGGGTGCAGGGAATAGATATATGGTGGCAATATTATTATCTTTCCCAGCCATGCAAGTCTGGCACACACATATGTCCCTTCCATCCCTTTTTTCTCAAGGCTGATTTTGCTGAGTGGGATTCTGGGTGATTGTCCCCTTCTGGCTATGGAGGAAGGAGTCCTGACTATACAGAGGTACTACTCTGCTGGGTGGTGGACAAGCCTTACCTGCCTGTGAGATGTCATCCCAGTAGGGTGGGTCAAACTCGTAGTCACCGGCCAGGATTTTGCGAAAGAGGTTCTTGTCATGGTTTTCATAGTCATCCTCATCCACCTCCTCATAGAAGGGTGGATTCCCTGATAGGCTGCAGGTGGGAGAGAGAGTCAGAATGGTGAGTCCAGAGCAGCTTGCCTCAGCTTGGATTTCTCCACGGCTTGGATTAACAAGGTAGTGACCTCTGGGCTCCAGCCTGTCTCCCTTCACCAGGGCCCAGGATTCTCCTGGATCACTCCCTGAGCTAGTTGCCAGGAAGCAGACTCTGGCTGTTCCCATTTTATTCCAGGCCCTAGCTCTTGTCTTTTTCCTGCCTTGTATCAGCTCCCCAGCCATTCTCTGGTCACCCACCCCTTTCAACTGCACCCGCAGCTCCCTGGCCTGGGTGGCACCCAAGGATGACCATCCTTATCTCCCACTGCTCACAGTCACTTTCAGAACTCAGAGATCCCAAAATCACAGTTCATGTCTCTGTCCTTACAGAATGTACATGATGACGCCAATAGCCCAACAGTCCACAGGCCGTCCATACCGTTGGCGTCCCACCACCTCTGGAGCTGAAACAACACAACAGGAGAGTGACAGCCATGCCATAGAAGGATCAGGATCCCTACCTCTGCCTCCTGAGGATCTCCACAAGCCTTTGTATTCCTAAAGTGCTGGTGGATGGTACTCTCCCATTACACACCTCTGCTTCTAGCTTAGACACCTCACATTTCTGTTACCAGTGGCACAAGGACTAACCCAGATGGCTTTCCAGAGCTGTTTCTCACTGTGCTGTCCCTCTTCCTGATACTTTGGGCCTCACACAGTATCCCCCAAGAGAGGAAACTCCCAGTCCCTCACACAGGACAGCCACCCCTTTCCTTAGCTGCCCATCATTAGCCTAGGCCAGGGCTTTTCAAACTTTTTTGGATCAGTGTACCCCCAACAGCTGGACGCAGAGCAGTGTACCCCTGGTGGCTGGATGTGGGGAGTGGGAGGGTGGTGCGCGACCGAATGCGAAATGGCGGCAGCTGCCGTATGCGAGCTTCCCCCACTCCCCATGCCTGGCTGGGTGGGTGGCGCCTGCGTAGTGGCACTCCGTCTCGACACGCCTGCACGTACCCTCTAGGGCCTTCTCAAATACACCCAGGGGTATGCGTACCCCCGGTTGACAACCCCTGGCCTAAGCTATGGTACCCAGTGGCTACGTTTCCTGTGAAGACCCCTCTCCCCTAGCTGAGACGTAACATAGGCTGCTTGGAAGGAAATGTAAGATTCATGGCAAAGAGGGTCTTGTTCACATGGAGAGATAGTGATCACCCTCCTGGAGGAAAAGCAAAAGGGATAGAACAGCTGGGGATGGGAAAGCCAAATATAATGAAGTGTAAAGAGATGCTCTATCACAGAAATCACAGGTGGATTTAGCTTCCATACCCAGGGCAGAAGTTCCAGTCTTAGGGGGAAGAAACAAAGGGCTAAAAGGAAATCTTAGTCTTCATGCTTCAGAGCCCAAACCAGCCTTTAACCATGGGAGCTAGGAAGGAACATGTTGGACCTGACAGTAAGACAGTAATTCCCCACTGACTCTAGAGCACTGAGGGAAGGACCAGGCCTGGACTTCAGTGTCTCTGGAGCTCTGGGTACAGCTCCTAGGAGAGGAAAGATTAGATCTGGGTTCCTGTCTCCATGGAAGGGGCTGTGGGTAACTGCTTCTTACTCTGCGGCTCATTCTTGGTTTGCAACAAAAAGTATTTACATGTTTGCACCTTGTCTTGCCCATCCCTGTTCTGGTTGCCCTCTGCCAAATGCCACTGTCACATTTCTTACCCAGATATTCTGGGGTGCCGCAAGGCTCCTTGATGAGGCCATTCTCTAGCTTTGCCAGGTGGAAATCACTGATAACAATCTTGGAGTTCTTCAGGCGGTTGTAATACACTAAATTCTCCAGCTGAAGGTCCCATGCAAAGAGAAGGGAAGAAATGAATGGAGGGGAGAGAGCATCCTAACCCTTTGATGGGTATAAAGCCATGGCAATTATCAGTGCCCCATGACCACCAGGGCCTGCCATACTACTTGGACATGAGGATGCTTCTCATAGCCATTTATTTGGCTCAGTCAGCACCCAGTCCAACCCCAGAAAAGAAGGGATACTTTCCACATAAAGAGGTCAGGGTGCCAACAACCAACCTGCAAACAGGAAGCCACCATCTAGAGGAGAGCACAGTGGGATCCCCTCCTTAAGCCATGCTCTAGTCTAGAGCATTGATGGCCAAACTTTTTGTCTTGTGTACTACAAATTAAGCCCTGTGCCCTTCCTGAGTCCTACTCTGATCCCTTCCCCACCCTGCAAAATCTGCCATTCTTTCTGTTCCCTGCCCTTTGCTCCCTTCCTGACCTGCCATTCTGCTTTCTGCTCTGGGGTCCCCGCATGATCTGCTGCTCTGCTTTCTGCTCCTTGTCCTTTCTGTTGCCATGCTGTTTGCCCCCTCCTTAATCTGCTGTGTGCCACACACAAAGGCTGCTCATGCCACAGGTTGGCCACCCCTGCTCTAGAGAAAGGGATGTCCTGGTATATCTGGATTGCTGGTGGCAGCTCCCCAATGACTGTGAGAGCAGATGAAGCTTGCAGGGATCTAAGTGCCTAGGGGCTGTCCTAGCAGCATGGAGATACAGGCTAGTAGGGAAGCTGGCAGACTTACCTTGAGGTTCCTGTGCACAATCTTGAGGGAATGGAGATAAGCAACAGCCTCCAACACCTGTCGGATGACATTGCTGGTGTCTCGCTCAGAATAATAACCCTGATCCAAGATCCAGTCAAACACCTCCCGGCCCGTGGCCCTGTAGTTAGGGAGAGACACAGCAAAAGCCTGAGAGAATAGCAGTACCAGGCAGGAGTGACTCCAACTCTGTTGTGACTCAGAGTTCTGTACAATGCTCTGGGTAGGAGGGACAGCAATGGAAGAGGAGTGTTATGAGGACTGGCTCAGCCAGATGGATGAGGCAGTGACCTTCTCACCTGGGACCCAGATCTTAGCAGTCAGAGCCTTGGAAAAGACCAGATAAATCTGTGAATTTCTAGGCACTTAGCTAAACCCCCAGAGCTTCTGCCATCAAAAAATTCAGTGCAGCTGGCCATGCCACCCCCATCCAGCAGACATGCTCACAGCAGAGACCTGAGTGTTCCTGACAGCTCCCTGTGGCTGGCTGTAGCTAAATTTAATATGATTTAGCCTGAAATCAGACCTCTGAAACAAGTCCTCCCACAGGCACAGGTCCGTCTCAGGTGAATATATTTCCTGTATCACTGTTACAGGAAATATATATATATACACTGGTATATCAATGGTCCCAGAGCTGGATTATTCCAGAAATCCTGCCTTTTCGATCCTAAAATCAACACACCCTGTATTTGAGGCTCTAAGCTCCCTATGATCCACAGCATGGCTCTTTTTCTGGCTGTGGTGGCATGGATGGGCTGCAGCTCAGAGGGCACCAGTGACTGATTTCTGTCAACAGGTGGAGTAGATGGCCATGCCCGTTGTGCAGAGAGGAAAACCATAGGAGCATATGGGGCAAGAACAAGCATCAGAAAGGAGCCCAGGAAGGCTTTCTGGAGAGGGCATTAACTTACAGTTCCAGGAAGATGAAGTACTCTTTCCGGGTGACATATACATCAACCAGCTGCAGGATGTTGGGATGCTTCACCCTATGTGGACAGGGCAAGAGAGCACAGACTCAGCAGGCTCTGCCTGATGTGCACCATGGCTTAGAAAGGTACCCCCTAGGCCAGGGCACAGAGACCCTGCCTGGTTCTGATCCAACATGTATATCCCCCTCCCCATGAGCTGGTGGATCTCAGGGGAACTCTACAGACCAGAAATGAAAGGTGACTTGGAGGATGAGCTACTGGGACAACAGAGCCCCTAATATAGGGCTATGAAGAGCTCTCCTATCCAGCTCTTTGTGGTGGCTGGGGTAGGCTGGCCTGGGTTTAGGCAGGGATGAGTTGCTTGTTCAAAACCCACAGTTGCTCTCAGCTCCCTGCTCCATACTTGCCAGCTGGTTGGTGCTATTTGTTTGCCTTTGCTCCTAAGCCCTTTTGAGAACCCTATTAGAGGCGGTAAAGATGCTGGGGGCACAGAAGCTGCCTGGTACTGAAACAGACAATTTCAGAAGGCAAAATCAGGCAGAGTACAATTAAACAAAATCACTTGTTGGCAGAGAAAAGCCTGACTGGGGGGACTTTTTGTCAGGATGAGCCTTGTGGTATTGTGTCATCAGTTTAGCAGATGCAGTTCCTATTGGTATACTGGACTTCTGTCCCCTTCTACTAGCTGTTGTGTATGAAAAGGTAAAAGCCTATTATAGCTGCTAGATAATACATCTACTTTACTATGTTACAAAGACAGCAGACTCAAGGTTTCCAGGTCAAATCCCAAAGGGATTCTATAGACTTACATTTTCAAGATGATGATCTCATTTTTGGCTGCCTTTCGCACCTTCCGCCCATCTCTCTTCAGAAATTTCTTGCATGTGTAGAGTTTTCCTGTTGTTTTTTCTTTGGCTCGGAAAATTTCACAGAACTCCTCCCTGGGGAATGTGTCACCAGAAGACCAGTTAGAACTGCCATGACATGATGCCTCGCCTACCCATATCATGACTGCAGAGCATAGGAGGGTGGGGTGGAAATCATACTAGTTAGATCCAAGGAGGGTGGCCAATGCCATTGGACAATTTGAAATGAACTGACCATGTAGTTATAATACCCGTGCTTCCCTTAACTTTTTCAGAGGGAACTGGAGGGTAAATAGTAGTTACCATGTAGCAGCATGTGCGAGTTACAGCTTTAAAATGACTTCCTGGTCAGATGATAGTGGCAAGGACAGAAGAAGCAAGACTGAGCAGGGCTCCTTTCCCATAAGGGAAGTGGGTTCTATAGAACCTTGTTCCTGGTGGGAATTCTGTGCTGAAGGGAGCAATTTTACATTGTAGAAAATCTCTGTCTTGCTCAAATTTTCACCAGTTCAGGGAGACTCCATCCATTTTGCTGGAAGAGCCTCTGCTCAGCCCACACAGGCTGCAAAAACTGCAGGTACAAGACTGCAATGGTACAAGATCAGCAATGGTCAAGTCTGCCCTCAGTACAGAGCCAGTCTCTCCCATTGCAATCTGAAAACCCATGCCATCAAACATCAGATATGCTTCAGACATATGGATCTCTGACGCCAAGTGTGATGCTTTGTCGCTATATTAACCTACATTTTAATAGCACGATATACATATAAGTGGTAAGCACATTGAAACAAAATAAATTCAGACTAGAACTAAGGTGCCAATTTTTCACAGTGATGGTATTTTATCAATGGAATCATGTACTAAGGGCTGAGATGGATTACCCTTCAGTTAAGACAGTTACATTTCTAAAAACTCCTGTAGTTTAAACAAGAAGTTCTGTGGTTTTCTTAGAGAGGAGGTCAGACTATATGATCACAGAGGCCCCTTTTGGTTACAGTATGATCCTGAGTCCAGGAGAATCTGCTAAAATTGTTCAAATCCAGTCTGGAGTGACGTTTTGCCCAATAAACTGGGGAGCTTTAGTGAGTGTACTGGCAGCTCATACAGATGAAGATGAAGTGACCTGGTGATCTATGCATCTTTTCTGGTCTTTCTGAAGGCCACATGACAAGCCAGATGAAAGAAGTCTGTGTTTGAATCTCTGTGCAGAGAAGATGGTTCAAAGCTTTGGGGTCTTTGATTAGACTCAGCATTTGAGCTCCCCTGTGATTAATCCCCTCCCTGTCAGCAAGTGAGTGGAGCTAAGCATATGTCAGTGGAACTCCTGATTAGGTAAACTTGAGCAGCAAAAATGAAGGATTTGGAGGGAATTTGGAGAGGTGTCTGTGTGACTGTACCAGATATGGATGACAAGGGAACAGCTGCTGTGACCTGCTTTGGGTGAGCTGTTTTCATTTTTGTTGAAGAACGGAAGAAATGTCTGGTGCATGGACATACTAGGTAACAAGACAGATGACAGAAAACCTACAATCCTTCATAGTATCCAAGAAAAGAAGGACATTTTGGATAACCCAGTTCAGAAATAATTGCCACAGATTACACAAGCAGAAGGGTGAGGGGGGAATCAGAGAGAATAGAATGGAAGCAGTTGACTGGTGATTTGTCACCAAGAAGGGGAATAAAGATAGCAGGTATTCAACCTAGCCAGAAGTATAACATTGTTATCAGGAACTCAGTGACTCTGTTCCTGAGAAGCCTGTTTGTAGAGGAATGGAAGAGAAAAATAGAGAGGGCATGACCAATAGACATCCTTCCTGTATGAAGCAAGCAAATACCACAAGAGCATCTTCAGGCCTTCTAGGAAGGCAAATAATCCTCATTAAGGATAGAAAATTCAGGGAGAGAAACAAGGACAACAGGATGGGGTGATGCCTGTACATGGTGAAAATATGGATGTAACTGCAAGACTGATTCTGAAGTCAACCTGCAGATTTAGTGATGATGCAAAATGACATGGCATCATGTGAAACTTCATGGATGAAAGAAGATTTCAAGGGCCTTGGAAGAGAGCTGAAGATGGGGAAAGTCCAAATGATCCTCCTGGATAGTCTTTTCATCTCAGAGTGAAGAGAGATGCACAAAATAATGAAGGGGAACCACTGACCGTGTAGCTGGTATAAGGCTGGAGGTTTCCATTTGGGGGAACATTTTACAGGCCCTCTTTCATTGAAATGTGGCCCAATAGGGCAGCCTGCATCTCACATGTAGGAAAACTGATCTATGTGGTTGGAGACTAGCTGAAGCAGCCAAAAAAGCATTAAATTAGCCAGACAAAGGGAGGTGTTCAGAAGGCAAATGAAGTATAAGAATGTTTTGGTTGCTTACATACTTTTGGTTGCTTACATATTTCCCCTCTATCGGGCGCTGGTCAGACCGCAGTTGGAGTACTGCGTGCAACTCTGGGCACCGCACTTCAAGAGAGATGTGGATAACCTGGAGAGGGTCCAGAGAAGGGCCACTCATATGATTAAGGGCTTGCAGGCCAAGCCCTACGAGGAGAGACTAGAGAAACTGGACCTTTTTAGCCTCCGCAAGAGAAGGTTGAGAGGCGACCGTGTGGCTGCCTATAAGTTCATCACGGGGGCACAGAAGGGAATTGGTGAGGTTTTATTCACCAAGGCGCCCCCGGGGGTTACAAGAAATAATGGCCACAAGCTAGCAGAGAGCAGATTTAGACTGGACATTAGGAAGAACTTCTTCACAGTTCAAGTGGCCAAGGTCTGGTATGGGCTCCCAAGGGAGGTGGTGCTCTCCCCTACCACTCTTTCCTGCCTATGCAGGGGGTCGGACTCGATGATCTATTGAGGTCCCTTCCGGCCCTAACATCTATGAATCTATGAATCTATGAATACTGATGCTAAGAGTCATGTAACAAGTGAGAGGAACTGGAAATTGTTTGTGACAAAAACAAATTTGCTATAACTGGTATTACTGAAATCTGGTGGAATGATTCGCATGATTGGAACATTAAAATAATTGGTTATAGCCTCTTATGGAAGGAAACAGCAGGAAAGAGAGATGGAGAGAAGCATTCCATATTAAAAACACCATTATCTGTGTTACAGTATTGATAATTTACAGCATAGGATCTTGGCTGCATATGAATTAATGTGCTAACAAAGTCAACGAGATAACCATCATGAGGCAACTCTCCTTTGGACCTCATTAACTCACGGATAAAGAAGAATTAATCAGTGGACTCAAAATTGGTGGTTACCTAGGGACTGGTGATTCATCAGGCACCTGAATAGACCTCTAACATGTACACCATGATCCAGAGGATTGATGGTTGCCTATATAATGATTCTGGTCTGAGAACTTTCAATATAAGTAAATAGAGACAAACCCTAGCAAGTAACACATGTACTTCATGTTTCAAAAGGATGTATCACAATATCTGAGGAAAATTATGAGAAAACTGAATTGAAAGGAAAAATGTAGACAAGAAAAACTAGGAGTTCTTTAAGCAGAGTTTATTACTATTCCATAGTCAAGAAATAGTACACTTTGAACTAAATCCTATTTCACTATTAGCACCTAAGTAGCACTTTCATAGCCAGGAAACTGCAATTGTTTGATGCTTCTTCACAGTTTAGATTGTATTTTCACCTGTGCCAGATTAGCATCATCCAGGTAAGTACATACCTACAAAAGACAAAACTAAGGAAGTGATAACCTTCCCCACTTTTAGGTCAACAGCATAGTGGTTAGGATACTTGCCCAGGAACCAGAGGATACTTGCCCTTAGTGGCAGGGGGTTGAACCTGCACACTTGCAGCAGATCGCTCTAGCTTCCAGGCAGGGGGGTAGGCATTGCCCAATGCACTCTCATCCTCCATTGAAGCTATCCAGGAGGTGGGAAAAAACTAGAGGAATGATGATTCACTGGGGTGGATGCTTCCCTGGACAGGAGGGGGCTCTGGCTCCTAACCTTAGTAGCTTTTCTATACTTTGAATTTAATACTGATTGGCTAAAATGGATAAAGGGTAGTGGGATAGTTGCTGCCCCAGTGGAGGCACAGCAAGAACCCAGGACTCCTTTCTCCAGGACAGATCCACTTCACTAAGCTACCCTTCTGCTGTATTGCTGTTCTCTTCCCGCTGAGTAGGAAAGTACAAGCTGAGTGTATCTAAAGAGGTCCGAGTAGAATCCAATGTATGTACAAGTACCAAAAACTGTAATTATGAAACTACATAAGTGCCATGTGAAGGAGTAAAGCTGGAATACATGCTAGCCCATTGGCTACAAGCTTACATGTGTTCAGTGGATAAAAGAAAGTAGCAAACAGAAATAAAAATGAAATATATAAGAAGAAGAAGATATATTAGAAATTACAGAGTATACAAAGATGATTAGGGAAGCTAAACTCATGAAGGACAATTTAATAGGTGGCAGTGCTAAGGACTGTAAGAAATTTGTAAGTATACCAAGAACAAAAAAATCCTAACAATGGTATAGACCTATTACTAGGCTAAAATTGTAAAGTTTTTGTTAATAAAGACACAGCAAATGCTGACATTTTCAATAAATATTTTGATCTGCACTTAAAACAAAGTGAAATGATGTGTTCATATGTGGCAGAACACAATTGGGGTGCTTGCCACTTAGTGCGGGCTGCAGCAGGCTGGAGAAGTGCCTGCAAGGAGGGCAGCCAGGAGACACCTGAGTAGCCATTTCAAGGGGGAAGGTGTTTGGCGGAGCACCAACTGGGTATTTGCCACTTAATAATTTCATAGTTTCTAGGGTCAGAAGGGACCTGAACAGATCATCAAGTCCAACCTCCTGCCCTGGGCAGGAACGAGTGCTGGGACCATAATACCCCAGCCAGATATCTATCCAACCTCCTGTTGGAGACCCCCAATGTAAGGGAGATCACCACCTCCCTTGGGAGCCCACTCTAGAGCCTGGCAGCCCTAACTGCAAAGTAATGCCTCCTGATATCAAGCCTGAACCTGCTCTCAATCAATTTGTGCCCATTATTCCTTGTTATCCCAGGTGATGCCCAGCGGAACAG